AGATAGATAGATAGATAGATAGATAGATAGATAGATAGATAGATAGATAGATAGATAGATAGATAGATAGATAATATTTGAAGTTCCCATATTGAATAGATTTCCAGACACCCCCCTTTCAGATGGAGCCCCCTCCTCAAATATGGGGTCTATCGTAAAACCGTTGGCTGGTGCAGTGTAGGTCGGACACATCTACATTCCTACGTTCACACTGATCGGTGCAGCCATTTCTGTGCTAAGGCTGATCAAAAATCTCTGAAAAAATAAAATTAAAATGAACAGTACGTAAACAATATGACGCTTTATGTGTGGGGGTCATAATAATAAGTCTCGACATTATTTACACTTGATTTTTCTGATAACCACTAGACAGTAACATAGTATTATATGTTACAGTACGGTAATTTGAAAAATAGGCTTGACTTGAAACCTCAAAATTGTTAAAGATAATTCTTGTCTGTCTGCAGATTATTATTTGCTTTACGAGAATTTTAAAAAGCTGCAACCTGATTTGAATAAGAATAACTCTACTTGTTCATCGTAAAAAGTAATTCTACCTCTTAATTACAGTCAGATCAGTGACAAATGTTCTATTAAATGACAAATATTGTAACAACTCCACCCAGGCATCTTTTTGTGTGGCTTGTTGTTCTTTTCATCTCATGTATCACTCTATTCTGTTTGAGAGGTCTGGTTGATACTTTGTGTCCTGCCCCACCCCGTGTGGGTCACACGAGGAGCGGACGAGCTTTTGTGGCATAAATTATGTTTAATATGATTTTGTTACGAGTCGATAAAATTCTGATATTTAATACCTGAAATTAAAATCTTAGCATTGAAAGTGGTCATTTTACTAAGCCAATATTCAACACCTTATAATAAACTTCTTTTGGAACATAAGTAGATAAAATGTTCTTTTTTCTCCCTCAAATGTATTATGTCACAGTTATCATTAGAGCAATCCTTTTTAGGAGATCTCTCGAGGTTACTAAAGCACTGTAAGCCTGGAGTCATTGGGGAATACTTGCTTATAAATGTCATTTTTGTGTGATGTCCAAGTTCACATACGTGTTGGAATCATCCCTTGGTGTCTCCTTTTTAAAACTAGACCTCTCATTGAATTTTATGGACTGTATCACATTGTGTTGTGTTCATTTTCCACAATAGCTTTCATGGAACCTGACTACAACGGAAAACAAAACCACTATCTTCTATATCAGGGCGTTTTTGACCTGAAAAGAGATTTGAGATGTTTGCCTTTCATGTTGACATTCACCCTCAAATGTTTTTTTATATCTTCTTTCATTTATCCATTTACTGTATCTGTACACTAATTGAATGATATATCATAGTATAAAATTCCAATATTGTTTAAATAACTGTATGAATATCACTTCTCTTTAAAGCTTCCTGTCCTCCAAGCAACTTGATGTTGTTTAGACAATGCCAGAGTGACGTCATCACGTTTTCATGGAATCGCACAGACAACGCTGAATACTACCTTGCAAAGGCAGTCGACTCCAAGGTACTAGATTTTAATAAACAGGCTTTAGATTTCTTACTTGCAATGAAACACATCCATGTATTTAAAAAAGTGGTATTTTCCTGGATCACACTGTGATTTCTCTGTACCCAGGGAGTGGTTTACAACTGTCTGACTGGAGACACGTCTTGTGATTTCACACGAACACTGTGTGGACGACTCTACACCTTCACAGTTCAGTCTGCCACAGGGGGATGCACAAGTACAATGAGCTCAAGTGTTTCCATTCAAACAGGTAAAGTAAAACTACATTTGAGCGATAATTATGACTAGGAAGCTGGAACCTTGTGCAATATCTATATAAACATCTAACACACTGCCTGGCTAAAAAATATTCACCACCAAAAAAATAATAAACCCACTATAATACACTATAATATTTCACTGGACCGCCTTAAGCTTTGATCACCCGCTTCGGATGTTATCATCTATTAAATGGACATTATTAGCCATCATCAGTCCCATAGAATGGCTTCAGATTAGCTTCAGACTGTACCGACTGTGCCGCCTCATGGGTTCTTCATCCCATAGAATGGCTTCAGACTGTCAGCTGGTTAGTATGAGGCATAAAGCCACTAAGATTTTTTATGCAATCTGGTTAATATGAGGCATAAAGCCACTAAGGTTAATTTTAGAGAAAAAAGTGACATGGGCCACGATAAAGTAGATCAGAATCCGGTGGTAGAAAATTGTTGCATTCCAATGCATGTGGCACTGGTAACCCTCTAGGGGGCACTGTTGGGACAGTCTGAAGCCAATCTATGGGACTGATAACCGCTAATAACGTAAGTAAGTAAGGTAAAGTTTTATTTACAAAGCGTCCATTTAATGGACTGATAACATCCGAATTGGCTGGCTTTGATTACGGCACGCATTCGCTGCAGCTTTGTTTGGATAAGCTTCCCAGACCTGATCAACTGCAGCAACCACAGATCACAGCACTTCCCCCACAGACTTGTACAGTAGTCACTATGATGGGTGCATCCTTAAAGACGATGAGTCCCCACTATCCTTCCAGATTTTAATAAAGCATTGGACAGCTCAAACTAATTTTAGTAGTTTCTGCAATCTCCTTAGATGTTTTCTCTGCTTGATGCCAATGATTTGGCCCTTCTCAAACAGGCTGACATCTTTTCCGTGACCACAGGATGTGTTTTCGAACATGGTTGTTTAAGAAATGAGAAGCAACTCATTGCACCAGTTGGGGTTAAATAACTTGTTGGCAGCTGAAAGATAATCACCCACGCAATAATTATCCAATAGGAGGTTCGTATCTATTTGCTTAGTTAAATCCAGGTGGGGGCTTTTTTTTGATGGCCAGGCAGCTCAAGGCTCTAGGAGCTTTGTGGAGACCAACGCCCGAGCCCCACGATCCACATTCTGTCCCTACAAGGCTGCCTTTTTCTGGAAAATGGTTCCCACGATGCGGCAAAAACGTACCCCCCAACACACACACCTGGTTAGTACTTGGATGTGAGACTGCCTGGGAATGCCAGGTGCTGTATCAATGTAGGAGTTGCACCGACATTGGTCGCTTGTAACAGAAAACCTTTGACTATCATAGGTTGCCTTCAATGAAGGATGCCAAATCAATCAATCATATACATATATATTTGTAGATTAATGAAATCAGTATTACTGAACTTCATTTGCAACAAGTAAAATTAATTTAATTACCACATTTCTTTGCACATCACACTTAAAGCATTGTTTGTTGAAAACTCCACTGGTTTAAAATTACTTTTCATTGTGTTGATGAAAATGTTGTTGCAAAACCATCAATGTCTGAAGGAGATTTGTCCTAGTGTTTTTCTTTGTGTTGATAAACTGATTACAGACAGGTATACTATCTGTTGTAGTCATCATTTAGGTCTACCATTGGGGGGGATTGTGCTCTAAGCTGCATGTCATTTTCAGCAACTTTGCTTAAACAAACATATATGACATTGTAAATTTTTGAATCAGGTCAAAGTTACCCAAAGACAACAAGAGAGTTGCATCTGTATACTTAACCAGTTAATTTCTATTGTGTTTGAGCAAATGGTTAATTTTACTGGGGTGGGGGGTTATATTCACTGGATCAAAATTATGTGGGGGGTGGGGGGTGGTTCATAACCAACCTAACCCTCCCACAAATTACGCCTACCTTATTAAAGAAAGTCATAGTAAGACTTTGGTCCTTTGGCCAAAACCAACATTCTCATTTTGAATACTTGACTGCTGAGTCTAAATGTCCAATTAGTTTCTTGATGCTCAGTAAGCACTTTTTAACATTTATGAATATATTTTTTCTTTATCCAGCACCCTGTATGCCTCAAAATCTACAAACGTCAGCCAGCTGCAGCAGTAACGTTTTAATCAGCACGTGGGACCTTGCTGAGGGGGCGCTGGGGTACACGGTTAATGCTGAAGGCAACTATCAGGGCAGTAAATATAACTGCAGCTCCCAGACCAACAGCTGTGCTATGGAGGGTGTGATCTGCGGAGAGAGCCTGACCATCACCATCAAAGCTTTTGACAATGAGTGCGCCAGCCCATTGCTGTTGGGGAATCCTGCTGAGACAGGTAAAACAAAAGTTTACTTGTCCAACTCATCTCTATTACTGAAACAAAAAGGCAAATGTTACAGCTGAACGTGCCACCTAAAAATGAACAATGTTATAATATTACATGATTAATTAAATTCTCTTTTCCAGTCCCGTGCACTCCTCTGAATGTATCAGCTGTGAAAGACTGTGGATCCAACTCCATCACTGTGTCCTGGAGCATGAACAGTGGTGCAATTTTCTATGTTGCAATGGCAAAAGATAGTAACAACAGGATTTACAGCTGCAACTCCATGGATCTGTTCTGTAAGATTCAAAACCTGAATTGTGCCACAAACTATGACATTACCGTCCTTTCCTCCAACTTCTACTGCAACAGCACAGAGAGTGCTGTCTTTACCATAAAGACAGGTACTGTGTGGAGTTTTTATCCTCTTTATTATGTTTTTAGTTGTTTTACTTAAAAGCTGGATGTGGTTTAGAAAATGATAATAAAAATAAATGTAGCATTAAGAATTTGTAAATGCTTTCCAAGTTTTTGAAAAGAAAATCTGCAAATTTCAGAAATATTTGATGATTTCGTTTTTTTTTATTAATCCAGCCAACTGCCCACCAAGCAACCTCACTGCCTCTTTGGACTGTGTGTCCAACATGGCTCTGATTTCTTGGAATGCCAGTCCATCAATGAGCTCCTTCACCGCTACCATGACGGATGCAAGTGCCGGACTTCTCAGCTGCAGCTCATTTACAACCAGCTGCAAAGTGCCCAACCTGAAGTGTGGCCAGCTCTACGCAGTCACTGCCACTTACTTTGATGGCATCTGCTCCAGTATGCCCTCTGATCCCATCTACATGCAGTCAGGTAGAAACAACCTTAGTTCCAAACATCCACCCAAGCATAATATCTTTACCTACTTGTTCCTTTCCTGGTCGCTGGCGCCAATGTCCAACGTTGTGAAAGGCAGGTCCATCACAGCCACACCGAGGGGCAATTTAGAGTTACCACTAAGCTTTTTATGCATGTTTTTGGCCTGTGAGAGAAAACCCACATGTGTACGGGGATAACATTCAAACACCGCCCACCCAGGCTGAGATTCAATTCTGCATCTTTCTTGCTTAGAGGCAACAGATCTACCAAAGTTCCAAGCATGCAGTAACATGTTTAAATCTGTAAATTATCTCTTTGGTTCTGTATTAAGTAGCTTACAACTAGACACATACAGTATTATACATCCACAGTTGTACACTGGAACTGCAGAAACTAACTAGAATAATAGCTGGAGAAACTATGAAAGGGCTTGTCACATGCAATCCATTTTAAATTTACAGTTTGACTATACTTTTGAACTCCAGCTCTCACTGAGGAGTTTGCAGCTGAGTGTGAAGTGGCTGGGATAAAGATCTGTGCCTCTAAACCCGAGACCATGGTCTTGAGCTAGAAACCCATACGGTGTCTTCTCCAGGTCGGGGAGGAGGTCCTGCCCCAAGTGGAGGAGTTTAAGTATCTCGGAGTCTTGTTCACGAATGAGGGAAGAGTGGAGCGGGAGATCGACAGGCGGATTGGTGCTGCGTCTGCGGTGATGCGGGCGCTGTTCCGGTCTGTCGTGGTGAAGCGAGAGCTGAGCCAGAAGGTGAAGCTCTCGGTTTACCTGTCGGTCTAAGTTCCTACCCTCATCTATGGTCTCGAGCTTTGGGTAGTGACCAAAAGAACGAGATTGTGGATACAAGCGGCTGAAATGAGTTTCCTCTGCAGGGTGTCTGGGTTCTCCTTTAGAGATAGGGTGAGAAGCTCAGTCATCCGGGAGGGACTCAGAGTAGAGCCGCTGATTCTCCACGTCGAGAGGAGCCAGTTGAGGTGGCTCATCTGGTTAGGATGCCTCCTGGACGCCTCCCTGGTGAGGTGTTCCAGGCATGTCCCACTGGAAGGAGGCCCAGAGGAAGACCCAGGACACGCTGGAGGGACTATGTTTCTCAGCTGGTCTGGGAACGCCTTGGGAATCCCCCAGAGGAGGTGGCTCAAGTGGCTGGAGAGAGGGAAGTCTGGGTCTCTCTGCTTAGGCTGCTGCCCCTGTGACCCGACCCCGGATAAGCGACAGAAAACGGATGGGCGGACTATACTATTTGTAGAAGATCACTGTCATCTACCACCATCCCAAATTTTGTCCCAATGGCTGAGATATGTTTTTTTAGGTTATTAGGTTTTAGCTTTGCAACCCATTCATCTGCTCTCTTATTAATTTGAAATGGCAAGCCCTAATTAAGTGCAGCAATTAAGTCTAAAATGTTCCGAAAATATCAATGAAATCAAACAAGATATTGATTTATTCCTCTTTAAAATATGACTGTCTGAAGAAAAATCTAATTTCCTGTATGCCCTTCTTGACCCAGTCTTCTTCTTCTTTCGGTTCAGTTCCCTGTGGTCCAGACAACATGCTCGTTAATGTGGACTGTGCATCTGGTGGTATGAACATTAGCTGGAGTGCAAGCAAAAGCTCAGAGGGCTACTTGGCCGTGATCTCAGACAGCTACAACCAGATGTCCTCCTACAACACCACAGACCTGAAACTGATAGTTCCTGCTAAGCAATGTGGGCAGCAGTACACAGTGAGAGTGAAGTCCTTCAATAGGAGCTGCATCAGTTTTCCATCAGAAATTAAATTTAGTGAAGGTAAGCATAATGTCTGTTCCACTGCAACACTACATTCAAAATTCAAGTTTCTTTATGGCACGGCAGGTTAACAGTACTGAGCTCATCATATGTTTTGTGTTTGTTTCCTCTCAGCCCCATGTGTGCCCACTAATGTGGTGGCAAACAGAAGCTGTGGGCAGAAGTTTGTGGATGTGACGTGGCAAGCCAGCCGGGGAGCCAAAAACTACACTGCAGCTGCCGTGGACGATAAAGGCAATCGCTTGAATTGTGTGTCTAATCAGACATCCTGCAGGCTGGACGGCATAATGTGCGACCATGTTTACAGCATCAGTGTGGTCGCTGTGGATGACTTTTGTACCAGCATGAAGAGCCTCCCCGTGAAACTAACAATAGGTACCAAATTGCATGAAATAATTACGTTACATCGTAGACAAATGTGTTCGAATGCACTCTTACGGTTTATRTGAAACCCTTCTTTGCAGAGCCCTGTCCTCCCTCTCATCTAACCGCCTCGGTGAACTGTACTAACAACTCCGCCAAGCTGAGCTGGAACAGCAGCCCAAATGCAGTGTCCTACACTGGAACGGGAACGGGCTCAGACGGAACCATTGTGACATGTGAGGCAGGGCTGGCACAGGGGTGTGAGCTGATAGGACTGAACTGTGGCATGGTGTATACTTTCACCGTTTCAGCATCAGACGGTAACTGTCGAACTATAGACAGCGAACCGGTCATCGCCACAACCGGTGAGAGGCACGAGCAGTTTGAAAAGACAAGAAATACCAAATATTATGCGTGCGACACAAAGTTACAACTCAAACAACTTGTTCGACCTCTTCACCTCTTGTTCCAGGCCCATGTGCTGTTCAGAACGTGCTGGCTGCCATCAACTGCAGCGCCAACACACTGAGCGTCAGCTGGGTGTCTGGATCCATCCTCATGAACTACAGCGCCACCGCCGTGATTGCAAACGGCATCGCGCTCCAGTGCACCACACAGGGTTCCAGCTGCACAATCGCTGGCTTACAGTGCGGTCAACAATACACGGTGAACGTGAAGCCCGTCAGCAGCACATGCGAAGGCCCCGGCAGTGCACCAGCGATTGTAAATTCAGGTGTGTTTCTTTGTTCAGCCATCAATTACATATACA